ATTATTCTAATAGCTATCCAACCATGAAAGCAGAAAGTATTTAGGCAAAATTGCAAACATGGTGCTGTCACTGGACTATTAAGGAAGAATATGTGTAGTAGCTAAAGAGATACGGCCTCTGCTCTTCGCTTGTTTCTGAATAATCCTCTGCATTCTGAAGCTAATTTGATTCTCTTCCCTTCCTTCAGTAAAGCTGCTCATTTATTTATAGTTGCCAATGCACCCATTAAAGCAATTATCTCTTTTCCTGGGCACTTCTGGGCAAATCTTACACACACCACTGTACAACAGGCCGTCCCTGTAACTCCCACCACCTTACAGCAAGTCACCGGCACACCTGCACTAACAACAGACAACATACAAGCTCAAAATGCACTTAGGATCTTTAAGAACATCTCCATTTCCTCAAAGGCAGGAAAACAAATGATCCAAGGGATACGGACCCCCAGGTCAATAGTTTTAGTTGTTGTTATGAACTGAGGTAGTTTGCAGAGGATGGCAAGTCCAGAGATGAGGGACATTCTCATTCTTTTAGTCCAGGAACTGCAGTTCGGGCACCTCTGCTGTTTTCAGCTGTGCTGACATGGCTGATGGCTCCCACCATCAGCCAGAACAGTCTGCCACTTAACAGAGTAAGCATTTCACACTTAAGATAGCTCTTGAAAAGAGAGCTGAACTGGGCAGTATATTTGCGCGATATTTGTCGACTCAACATGTGTCACAAAGATGATTCTCATAAGCAGAACCGTAGCAAAAGCTGCAATTTAAATGACCAGAAACAACTTATTTAAACTATTTTAGAATGGGTAAAGTGGTTTTACACACATCATCGTCCAGCTAAGGGAATGCAGCCCTTAACCAAAAGAGTTTTTTTTTCTGTCAAAATTAGATTCTGCGGAGGAGTAACACGATGGGGAAAGGCACGCCACCAGTGACAGTGTTACAAAGTCCTCGTTTCAAGGATGTGCATGTCTACTGTGCAAACTAGTCTCTACTCTGCAGTTTGGAATCTGACTTTGTGTCCATCTTCCCCCTGTGCACAGCTACCCTACTGAGATGCATTTAACACATCCATAGGTAAACACTTCTCAAAGGTTAAGGCTGAGCTCCATGGCAGTTCTCCTCCTGGCAATACTAAAATATTTTATCAATGATTATACTACAAGTGGAGGCTTGTGGCCAATCCCAATGCAAAGCCAGCAACTGTCACATTATTTCTGAGCTCAGAGACTGCCCTACTGAATCTGAGACTGACAGTATTACTGCCTCAATTATCCATTTCAATTAATGCAAATATAGGTGATAGTCTTAGAACAGCAGAGTAAGAACTGATCGCTGAATACACAGTCACAAAAGACAAGGCTTGACAAAAGAAGTAAAAAAGAGATTAGATTTAGTCTGTTTCACATACTGTTAAATCAGAGATAGGAAAAAAGGCAGGGTATTGTCTTTATAATAATAATTACATTCTACAGAAATAGTAGACAAACCATTTCATTTGAATTTTTATTCTTTGAAGTTCTTCTGCAAGAAGTGGAGAAGTGTTTGATTTGAGCAGCTACTGGAGTGCTCAGCACCATCTTACTAACACCTCTATCTTCTCTCAGTAAAAATAATGAAGACAGAATGCTAGGCTTGAAGAGAATACACAGTCTGCTATAACTGTATTAAAGGTAACAGAGGCAAATAAAAATTAAATTACTTGGCCATTTATGTGGCTTGGCCAGCCATGGAGTAAGTCATGGCAGATTTTTTTAGCCATGGGAACTTTCTGTGCTTTATCTATGAGAGTCTGTCACTGATAACAAATGCGTTAGCCTTTGACTTGAGCTTTTCAGTGTAGCGCAGGGACACTCCTTCACCTAGTCAAAGCTTCAGTGGCCATTCATTACACAGCTGGATGTGGGAGCAGATAGGCATGCACCTTCCAGCAGGTTACATATCGCTACCCCCCATATTCCTGCAGTAAAAGGGAAAGAATTATGTACTTCATCCTAGGTTTACAGATACTACATATTTTCTTGCTATAATGAACTCCATCTATACCTAGTAAATGATAACCATAGGTGAATTGTAACAGAATATATTTCTTCCATTTTCTGTGTTAACAACTCATTTTCTGTGTTAACTCTACTGAGCCAGCACCATGACTCCTCAAATTCTGTTAAATGCATATGACTTTCACCTTTCATCATAAGTATGAACAGGATAACACAAACCCAAAACTTGTAAGACATCTCAAGAAAATTAATTTAAGAGGTGGTTGCATATTCTTTTTATTACAAGAGAGTGGAATCTTAGGTAAATGTAGCTGAGGGTTTTCAAGTATCTGATGCTGTTAGCATATTTTTCTGACTGACAATGAACACTCCTCGGCCTAAAGCCACTAGCGGTGAAAAAGGCCCAGAGGATGTTGGAGGAATGAGGAAGACACAACGGCTGGGATGAGAAAGCAACCATGGGAGACAAGGCTGATTCAGGTGAAACAGCACAGATGAGTGGAGAAGCTTAATAATCTGTGACAGAAAGAGGCTTGTGTATGTATTGTGGCTAGAGATGAGAAATCTGCTCTGCAGGGGATCTGGGATACGGAAGCCTGCTGCAGGTACCGAGATACAACTACTTGTAAAAGCTCTTTGAAAGATTTTGCTTTCCTGTACCAGAAAAGCAGTGCTGATATGGAAAGCCTGTCATTCACATACCCACCAGCAAAAATAACAGTTTATGTTCAGGTCACAATTTGAAGGTTAGCCATACAACCTTAACAGCTAAAGTACGTTGTAGGTAAATAACCAAAAGTTCAACATAACTCAAAACCCAATTCCCGTCCCACTGCCGAATTTTACATTTGGTTCACACATGCAGAGAACAGCACCCACCAAATATGTTTATCAGTGGATCTTTCTATGGTTCAGTTCCTTTTCTCACAACTAACATCTTTTTTTCCACCTCTGTTGACACAGAGTTCATCAGCAGGTCAGTGCTGAGGAAAAAGGTAACAACCAGTATTGAAAGTGTAACCCTGCCTATTGCTTAGATTCTGGGAACTTTAACCTCCGTTTGGAAAGCATGACTAATAAGATGGAACAAATATTTCCCAAGAGATGTAAACCATGCACCAACTTCAAAATACAAAAATGCCTGCATTTTTTTTCTTTTTTTTTTTTTTAAGAGAAACTTTTTTTTTTTAAAAAAATTAAGACGACTGTATGTGTGACATTAACATGTAGTAGTTAACTGAAGGCTGGAGCACCAAAGCGCAGTATGGAATAGTATTCTTCTGAGCTCTACTTCAGTTTAAATGAACTGTTAAATATTTTAGGGTTTTTTCTTCTGAGCAATTATTGCTTCTGAAATATCTATTCTGCAATAACAAGATTAAAAAATATATCTCTTAGCAAAGCAGGATAAATATTAAGCAAAATAATTATTTCAAAGAATCTTCAATTTATACTTTTTTCCAAATATGTAATTAGCCCCCAAAAGCTAATTCCACAAAGTCTAAATGAACTTTAAGTATGTGATCTCTTTGAAGCAAAGGAGAATTTTCTCACCTGAGCAAGTGATGTTGTTCTCTGTTAATGACTGAGTACTATGAATAATAACTGTTCATACACTGAAGCTTTTAGCACTATGGCTTTATTGATTTGAAATACCTGGAGCAGACCTGCACTTAAACACTGCTGGCTGCCAAGTGTAACACTGTGTAGCCATAACATCTGTGGTGTTATTTGCTTCTTATTTTCTTTTCTTAATTTTAGTTTTGTTTTGTTTGATTTTAGTACTACAAGCTTGCAGTTTTTGCTAGTGTAACGTTGAGACTCACCCAAATCACTGGACACAGACTTGTCCATGGTATTTTGTCTGTCTAGAGCATTGATTAATAATTTCTCATGGAGTAGCTTTACAAACTGGTAGGCTTGGCATACTGATGTTTGCAATAACCATATTGCCAACAGGCTTTAAACAAGATCAAAGCCTCGTTCTGATAGCTGACATGTAGATCACCGAGGATATCAAAATATGAGCAAACAAAAAACTGTAGGGAGAAAGAATTAGTGTCCCTGTTCTACAGATAGTGAACTGAGAAAGATAAAAAAAGCAGTTTGTTGAAGGCTACCTGATCTTCAAGAACCTGTGAATGAGTCGTTGTCCAGTTCTGCTGAAGAGAACATTACTGCTTTTTGTCAGAATCAGAGTGGTGGCTGTTCTCTGCATCAACTAGAGCTCACTCTTTCTGCCCGAACAATAACTGTGCTTTTCAGATATGGCAGCACTCTATTCCAAACTCAATCTGTTGCTTTAAAAATCTTTTGAGGCATGCAGCTGTGCATGTGATTGCTTGTTACCAGTACTCTCTGTGGTCAGTTTAGTTTCTGTGGGTTGTGACTGTAGTATAAATGTAAAAGTCACAAGCCTCTAGACTGAGTCTAAAACCTGTGTTTAAAAGCATGCTCTTTGATGCCATGATAATTGGGAAACAGAAGACGTATCTTTTCACAGGCTAGAGAAAAATATTGTATTGTATCTTGTCCAAAATCACATTTCAAAACCTGTTTTATTTGTGCTTGGCAGTGAATACAGCATTTTTGGGTGCTATAAACATCAAAGTACCCCAGGGAGACAGGTTCTTGGGGGTCAGCATAACAATCTGCAGGGAGCACACTCATGCAGGACTGACTTACATACAACATTCCACGATACAGAGATAGAAAGCTGCTACACATGAAAGAAGAGGTGAGTCCCATGGCGATAGATGCCTCCAACCAGAGTACCACGGTCTTTCTTTTACCACAAATTTGCTTACCACCATTTCTGTAAAGTGGACATCTTTATGGGCACCCAGTTTCTTCCTAAACAAAGTGGTATCACATAGTGTGGTACCAGTTCTCCACAAGACTGCAAGAAATCTTTAATTTCTTCTATATTCAAAATATTACAACACACTAACAATAAAGAGTAAAGTAACAACAGCTAAATATTGAAAGGCAGTACTATACCTGACATATTCTAATTGCTTGGTCCAGCACCGTCTTTGTATCAGTTGCATAATCTGGACAAGGCAGCATGGCATGACTGAAGTGGGCTTGCAGCAAGAGGTGTGTTTTTGTGTGTGAACTGTCAAATGAATGGGGATTGACTTCAATTGGAAGATGTTTTGCCAGTTCGCTGTTCATCTGATCTTCATTGTGTCTCACAGGCAGATCCGTGTACTCCTCAGCGTTCTTTAAAAAGCAAAAAATAAAAAATCTGACTGTTGTAATTAACTTCAGAAAAACAATTATTCCTTACTGAGACATTGAAAGTACTTGCATTTAATTTACTATAGTTAGATTTCATTGTTGAAATAGCACCATTTTAAACCATAATGTTTAGAAAGCTTACTTACCAAAATCAACGTGTGTGGGAAAAGAATAGCTAGTAAAGTATTCACCACTATTCACACAATTATAGGTTTAAATTTTTTTCCCTGCATAGCTGATTTTAACATTACAGAAGAAGAAAATAAAAGCAGTGAAATAAATACATTCATTGGATGGACTCAGTATTTGAGATGACCTACAGATATCCTACCCTGGTTGGCTCACAAAAACATTCTAAGGTTACCTATGAGGAAGGCAATATTCAAATTTTTAATTTTCAAGTTTTCTACTTTTCTCTTTTGTATTCAAAACACAATGAGGTTGGAAATAGCTCTGGCAAGGTTCTTTAAAAGTATATTTTCAATATTTTGAGAAGGCAGTGTGTAGTCAACAGATGATCAGTGATCAAAGCAAAGAGTAAAATGGTAAGTAGGTGCTGAAAACCATCCTCTGTGCTCCAGAGCGGGACTAATACCATTCATGCCAAAGAAAGCTGTCTAAGAACTTTCTCATTGTTGCAAAGAGAAGCTGCAGGTAATCTAAACATAGTTATGAGCAGCAACATCCTTGGGGCTGAGAAGAATAAGTATGACTGTTCTAGTAGCCAGAGCAGAGATGTTCACTCTCCTGGAAGGGAAATCTCTTTGGTGAAAGAAAGAAAATTCAACAGAAGCATGCTAAGAACTATAATTTAGATTGAAGAGTCAGTTCTGTGACTTAATTGGTAATTTTTTTTCCTCCACAAAATCCTCTTGTGCATGGACGTACTCTTTTTTGGAGTGACTGTGACCTTTCTAAAGTATAAAACTGCAAGTAAAATAGTTGTTTTATAATATGTGCTGTCTTTTCCATCTGTAATTTAAGAAAGTATATTTCTTTTGCCATAAAATAAAAAGTCATTTGGGTAGCCTGAAGGGCACTGTCTTCCAAACTATGGGCTTAGCAAACACCACTAAATTCAAGTGTTCAGGGTTTTATATTCCTCTTAAACTACAGATTCGACATTAGTCTTCAGTCTCCAGTCAAGCTTCCTGAAAATCCATATCAATGAAATATTCATAACAATAACCAATGCAGAGTGAGGTAAATAAAAATGGCAATTTTAGGACACCTAACAGAACTACCTAATACACTTGCAAAGTACTGTATCCACTCATTAATATCCTAACACATAGACCCTTTTTTGCCAATTCCTAAAAACAGTCACATAGCTGTTTTTCACCCCCTTGAAAACTGACAGCACAAAATTTTCTATTTTCTTTAATGGCACAATGAAACTACATCTAAACTGTGATTAAGTGTAAAAGGAAAGGTAACTATTAGACAGTTTAAGATTTGGAAAGAAAACCAGAATGTCATTTATTTATTTCATACCTTGACTACAGATTAAAGTGAAGACTGGATAAAGACAACTGCTGCTTAATCCTGGATGTCTTTCCTAGATCTCTTGTGAAAACTGTGGTCATTTATTCTCTGAACCTAAGGTCACAGTCTTTTTAAGCCCTATAGAAGTCTCCACGTTTGCTTCACTCTTTTTATTTAACTGGCTTCTCCTTCAAAGATATTTTAAAGAATATTTACCAAGGAGATTTTTTTACTTAGTTTTGCTTTGCAGTTTAAAATAGCAGACAGAAAAAGGATCAGACAAGTCACTCCAGACCTACTGCGTACTCCTGAAAATGTGTTTTCCCTAATTCTTCTCCAGTACATGTTTTATTTACCTCTAAAACAGTCCGCTTATTTTAAACAACTTGCCTACTTAATTTCCTGTTTGTGATCATTGACTGTAAGTAAGTGAGGTTCATTTTCTTATCTGCATCATGTAGGTAATTAAAGGAAATTGAGAATGGGTAGTGAAGCTTTTATACAACTGAGAATGAAGCTGAATGGAGGGCACGGAGGTCAGCAGAGTCCATTATATTTTTATGTGAGAGGCCAGTATGTCTGCCCTGTCCTTGTTTGCTTAGTGTAGGCTGGACAGACTACTAACTGCAAATCTGTTTCTCTGATTTGCCCAGCTGTCCTTGAATAAAGACATCTTCCATTGCAAAATGTTAAATGACAGTGATTGACAACTCTGTGATGAACTCTGCTTGTAACCCCCTGCTACTGTTTTCAGGTTGCACAAGAAAAGACAGAATAAAGAAACTTCCTTTGTAATCACCTCAAATGGGTCCTGCTGTTCACTCAATATTTTTTCATTTTAGTTTTCCTTTTCATTGTGAATCTCAATCTGTTCTGCAGAGGCTATAGCTTCAACTATTCCACATAATATATAACATATTAGACGTATATATTATTTTAGTGCATTGTATCTGAAAACTGTTCTTTCTTCCATGGGTGAGGAAACAGATCAAATTACATATCAATCATTAATCTTCTTTCTAAAGTCAAGAAACTTAATACAAACTTTATAATTAAACCATAAAGCACTGCTGTGCAGCAGTTTTCACTCTCCCTTTTTCTTGTGTTAAATCAGAACTATTGCAGCCCATGTGTGAATAATATGCTTGCCAGTGAGAAATGTCACATACAGACCTGCATAAACTTGATAGTTACATTTTACAAGGCCAAAGGGCTATTTTGATAATTGAATTCTGTTTTCTACATAACACCAACCACAGAATCATCTTAAGAGTTCTGTCTGCAACAACATGTTCCAGATATGTAGCTTATCATCACCCTTTACATAGAATTGTTCTAAAAGTAAACAACTTATCCCATTAAAAAAATATATCTTTTGCAGCTTTATGGTACTGTCAGGCATCTGAGGAGTCAGACTGAACTAAAATTTAAACAAGGTATCCAACATGGCGAGTACTATGCTCTGCAGTGACCAGAGGGTTAAAAAAAACCCACAGATTTTATTTCTACCCACAAAATGCATAAGTTTGGCTGAAATTACTGATTTATAGTGAGAGCTGAACTATAAACTTATACCACATGTAAACCTCTGAAATATTTTAAAATCTCAAGTACCTACATCTTGCCATCTGTCTACAAGAAAGAAGAGGATACTTGAGGAGCATAAACAGAAATGGGATCAAGGTGGGCAACTAAAATAAACTTGAATATTTTAAGTTAAGTTCAGTCATGGGAATGGTAAAACTTATAAAGTTAATGAGTTCTAGACTTTTAAGAGCAGTTGATTAATTTGTAACAATGAGTGTCTAAAACAAACCAAAAATAGTTTCTCACATTCCAGAGCTGAACCAGTAGTCTTCTCTTTAGCAATGTCGTTACTGAAACTACTTTAGCATTGATGGCCTGCCTGTACGTTCCTTTTCTTTATATAGGTACAGTGAACACAAGCACACCACATTTTCAACTTTAATAACTTGCATTATGTTTTGCTCTCTTTCAAGTTTCTGATGTAAAAAGAAACAAGGGCTAGGCATTTAAAAAAAAAAAAAAATCGACGACAAAATTAACAGTCGTTAAGCAAAAGTATTAAAAATCTTGCAATACACTAGTACTAAAAAGTAACTACCAGAATAATAAAAAAGGAGAAAAGACGAGGATCATTCTTAGCTAATATAATAATTGCATCCTCTTAACCTGAACCCTGGTTTACACTGTGTAAACTCCTGGTAGGCTGAAGGACCTACATTTTTTGCAGCATAAATGTAAATCATACATTTATGCTGCAAAAAAAATTAGCTGCAAGGAACAAATGTGGTTTTTTTGTGGTGTGTTTTTTTTTTTTTTCTCTCCTCCTTTTATTAACAGCAGTTCTGCAATTAACACTAATAATATATTGTAGTAAATTTTAGTTTTCTTTAGTGCTATCAGGTATGCCAATATGCAATCCACTTTTCTCTGTGAAAAGAGTGTATTTTGATCTTTACTGTACAGGCAAATAAAAGCTCAACAATAATATTATTACATAATTGGCTTTCATCTTTTGTTCCATTGCACAAAGTGCTACAGAGAATTTTAGTTAAACACCCTGACTTGTCACTTCCACATAGTACTACAGTGTATAGGAAGCAGCTGAACTTTAAAGTCTCCAGTCCACTATGACTTAAGTCTTCAAAGCAGTTCGTAACTGTCCTCTTTGGGGTGATACCTATGTTACCCTTAGCACAGGATAAAGAAAAACAGCATGGTTAAAACAGAGAAATAACAAGCACCAACATTCTGTGAGTAGCTAGGTAACTGGGTAATAACATCTTACAATCGATTCACAAATCCTAACTTTTCTTTGATGGTACTTGAACTTCTGTACTTCAAAACATTTGAAATGATTTCTGTTTTTACATATATACACACACATATATATATCTCCTTTCATGTCCTGACAGAAGTCTCATTTGACCCTGTTAACTGTATTATAAGGAAAAAAAAAATTACTTAAAAGTCCCCAGGCTAATCTTTTCTGCCCATGCTCTTCCCAAGAGCATGAGACCATATTATGTGACAGAGTAATGACACAAGTATCTATATTATGAAAATTATTTAAATTAATCAACATATTTATACTGTATTGTATCATCACATTTTCAAGTGTGAATTTGATTTACAAGGAAAGACATAAAATTTACACAGATGCATTCTGGCAGGCAGCTGGAACACAATCAAGCTTATACTTATATTCAGAAGACACATAAATGTGAGAAAAGTTGTGCTTTAAAAAAGCCATAAAAGGACAAAGGAAAAAAAGCCCAAACCGATCACATACTCAAAAGCTGTTTTTCAGTGCAAATCAAAAAGTAAAGTAGATTGAAAAATGGAATTGGAGAAGTCCTTGCCAGAATTATTGCTCTGAAAATTATATCTGTGTTAGTGATTCCATTATAAACTCCTATTTTAAAGAGTTTATTGGTAGCCTATAAATGTGTATGCTTTGGTCTCAGTTTTAT